TCACTTCTTATTTTTTCTGCTCATAGTTTCAGTTATCTAAACAATGAATTTTCTTATTGAGAAGTCTCTGCAAAGAAATTTGGTTATGACCTGACAAAACTCCAGTGCTCAGTAAATACTGTGTTTAGTGCATTCTGCGTATTTTCCATGACACTCTTCATAAAACTGAGACGCCTGCTGTTAAGGTGGGGCTGAACATATGCGTACACCTCACCAAGTTGGACCTTGCACTCAAGCCACAGAGGAGTAGGACTTACTGAATACTTGGCATGAAGTTTGGGGTAACAGAGGTACTATGAATTCATGATGTTACCTTGTGCACTGAACAGACCAATTGTAAGTCCCTGCACGTTTCTGCAAGAAAACTGCTTGCTTGCTTTCTAAGACTGGGGATTGCATTAATGATTCTCCAGAGCTCAGCAGCTGAAGAAAGCACAAGGGCTGGGACATAGCAAATGAGACAATAAGGACTGCCACACCTACACCCACAAGGAGACATGCCAAGGCAACTTCTATAACCTCATTGTGGCATTTCTCCATTTGACATGCATCACTGTGCAATCTTGACTATTACCCAAACACATCAAACGAGCACAGCTGTTGAGAAACTTGGTCTATAAGTATCAAAAATCTCAATATGCTGGAGCTGTGGCTGCTCCTCCCTGGAAGTGTTCAAGGCCAGGCTGGATGAGGCTTTGAGCAACCTTATCTAGTGGAAGGTGTCCCTGCTCCTGGCAGGAGGGTTGGAACTAGATGATCTTTAAGGTTCCTTCCAACCCAAACCATTCTATGATTTTATGATCTGTACAGCAGAAAAGAAGGAAAACCCACCTAGCCTCTTTCCTAAGTTGATCAGTCTTGCTAAGTGGGAGTGGTAAAACATGGGGAAGCTCAAGAAATCACTGCCATGACTTTCGTGCATGTCACAACCTACTCAAAATGTATTCCTTCTAAAGCTCCAGGCAGTGAAATGTCGTGACAACAAAAGTGCCCGCAATAAAGGTCTGTTTGAGAACCACTTCAGTAGCAGGAAGTTCTCCCACAGAACAGGGATTTCTCTATCAGTCTGTCCTAAACAGATCAAGTGTAAGCTCTAGCCAACCCACAGAGGCAGGATAAAGAACTGCCTGTTTTTCTAAACTTGATTCTTAAAAAATAAAAATAAAACTGTTTCTCCAACTGTTCTGTTCTGATACAGCATCAGAAAGCTCCATATTAAAATTCTCTCAAGAGTAGCACTTTTTAACAATCAAGTAACATAGCTTAGTTTGTACTCACAGATCGTACTTTTCCTTTTATTTTATACTGAGATTCTCTTCCTCCTCCCCTCCAGAATGACTATAATTATTCTATAAAAATACAGAGCATATGGAACTGTTTCCTCGAAGCAATGGAACAGAGCGTCATAAAAGCAAAGAACATAAGCAGTTTATTAGAGGTGGTTTCCCTTCCCCATCATCTACTCAAAGCTGCTGTGAAAATCTATTGAAGTCCTACTGTGCAGGGGTACAAAACAGCTATGAAAGGACGTGCCTGCATTACATAGGGTTTACTGTTAATTAGCTCTTGTACACACAAGCAGTACATAAAACCAGCTTTTTTGTTTAGGAAGTGATGATTTGTTGAGAGGATGTCCTTTGTTGATATACAGCTAGCATTAGGATTGTAATTTGAGTTAACATGTACACATTATTTTATGTAACCACTTGACTACAATGGTCTTGGCTAATTAGTTTCTGTTAGTTAAAAAGGAAAATGTGAATTAAATTTTCTTAGGGCATAAATAGAGACATCACCTTACTCAGAGCAATAACATCAAGGGGCTAGTTCTTTCCTGTCATATTCATCACAAGCTTCTGGTCACATCTTCAAAACTCCCTCCTCCTTTGATGATCTCTCCTCTCCTCTCTGAGTAATAAGCTGAATGAATCGTAGGAAGGATAAACACATTTAAAATTCTTACTTTAAGTAACAACTTTATCCACAGTCTAGGTTCAATAACTGGCTTCGCCAAACTTTTCTGGTGGACCTGGGAGCAGGGGAGTGAGTGTTGAAGAACCAGCCTTTTGTGACCATCTAGAGTAATTTTCTTAACTCAACTTCTAACTCCTTTAGAGCCTGAACTTCTCCTGGGAGTGAAGAATACAGTGAATGCCTTTGTAAGGATAAGTTGAACAGATCAGAAACAAATGTGGGGCCTCACAGGGGAAAAAAAAGGCACACAAGATCCAGCAAGTAACCTAACAGTAATTTGAAAAGCTATCAATTTATCTAGAGGAAAAGGGTTTAAAAAAGCCTCATATGTGGCACTGAGCTGGGAACAGGAAAAGACGAGGGTTTCTTGCATACTTTTTGGACAGAACTCTATTGAAGCTAAAGATCTTTAAAAAACCAAACACCGATGCAGAAAGGCATACAATGCCAAAAGGATTTCTTTTCACCAAATATAAGGGACCAAACTTAAGCAGCAAAACTGAAGTTTCACCAGTCATCTGGAAAACAAGTCATGTGATGCACATCCGATTCATCTTTAATAAACACGACAGTAAGAATTCCTTCGCTATTCTACCAGACTGTTACAGAAGCCCTCAAGTCAATGGATCATGGCAAAACCAATTTGCAAACTGGAAAGCAAAGCAACACTGGTATGAAAATGGGAACAGGTGAAGATAAGAAATACCTTGTTGTTTGTGGTTAAAGCCCTGCTCTCATTTTTAGCTGCCTAAACAGCAGAGAACTCTGTCCTTCAACTCACTGCTGCTTCACCTGAATACAAGAAATTCAAGTCACTGGATAAGGGTACAACTGATTATTAATTATTTTAAAGTCTGTAAGTCTAGGGAGGCCATGCAATTGTTAAAGGGACATGTCAATGGTTCCATCTAAAGTGAAACACATCCATTTTTTAATTTACACCCCTACTGTAATAAGAAGTTATCAATTTGCCAGTGCAGTTTTGCCCATTTTTAGCCAAAACAAAATGAACTGTTTTCACAAAAAAAATAGCACAATTTCACTAATTAATAAATACAAAGGTACGAAATCTCCTTCTTTGACTTGAAAGTGAAAGAATACATATATCCTGACATTTTCCCATTTATTCCCATTTTCCCATTTATTTTCCCAAATAAATTCAGCAAAGTTGAAACAAAAAAAATAAAAATCCATCAGATGGAAAGGAAGCACGTCTTCCCCCTCAGACTGAATGGACCAGCAAATTATTCACCTGAGCAGAATAAAACAATTGTTTTAATTTCCACTCCCCTTGATAATCTGCCTTACAACCTTGACAGTAGATTCAAAGAGACAAACACGATTTACACAACATAAAAACCAAAACAAGCATTGCCTGCTAACACATGGCTTAAGCCTGGCACCGTACCAGACAACACTTTCTTTAATGCTGTGTCATCAGGCTCGAGGTTCCACTCCTTTAATTCCACTTTTAAATACAGGGCCCAAGCTAACATCCACTCTGATTAACAGGAGTTTTTCCATCAAATTCAGGGGGTACCTGGCAGTACCTCCAGAGATTTTACTAGTACCTGAACATTTTCACTGCAAAGGTGAGTTTGGGAGTTATACGATATGAATTAAACAGTGAAGAAGGTCTGACTGGCTTTTGGGCTAACAGAGGAAGCTAGAGCAAGCAGCCTGTAACACTGCGAGAGTCGAACTATGGCCAACAAGTTGTCTTCTTAGTATAAAGCTCTTCATGTTCTCCCAAAAGCTGATAAAAAATCCGACTGATGAAATGAACCATTCTATGAAATACATGTTATTTTTAAATTGGTTACTAAAGCAAAGAACTTCAGCATGGCCTTCATTCTCTGTAGTTTGGTAATTCCTTTAAACTTATGCAAATAATAATACATTTTCTATATTTGTGCTTTGAGTAAAGTTGACAAAATGGAGACCTTTAAAACTGACTGCTAGTTTTGGGCAACTCAGTTTGGATGAGCACATCCGAAAATGAGTTCCCCACAGAAGTACCTCAAATTGGACACCTCAGATCAGAAAGATTAAAAAAAAAATAATTTTGAAATATTGAAAAACTCAGTCTTCTTCCTTTGCTTATTCATTGGTCCATGAACTGAGTCAGAATTGATACTGATTTAATTAAACAAGTACACCACCTGATAAGTTTTATATAGTACTGTTTTCGAAGTCTAAACATGTTCTCCCTCAACAGCTAGAAAGAGGGATATTCACATTAGGTACAAAACTAGAAAAGAAAGGTAACCTTAAAATCTGTTTTTAAAGACAAGGAAAAAGCCAAGGTAAGATCCTTAATGAGGTGAAGTTGGTTGAAATGATATATTTTCATCCAGTCTTAGATCATGACAATAATCCCAAAGCCTGGAAGTCATACTAACCAGTTTGAATTTAAATATACACAAAATCTATGGCAATGAAGAGCTTTCATTAAAAAGAACGCAGACTATAATTGGAATGTTTGGGGATTCTTCCTACATTAATTTATTGAAAAATGAAATTGCTGCAAGGTTATAATTTTTTTTTTAAACAGCAAATGAAAAAAATATCAAGTAATAGTGTTATGGGATTTAAAGAAGAAATTCGGTTTTGCTAAAACATTTACTTTTTTCCAGAGACGTATGGAAGAAAAAGCTTCATTTGCTTTTAAGCTCTGGCTTAAACAAAAAAAAAGAAACCCAAATGGATAAAAAGTAAATTTCAATTTCACCATATCTACTTCTAGTAAAATTTCATCAAGAAACATGTATTTCAGCAGAAAATTTCATAATTGAACCCTTATTGATTTAACTTTAAAAAATGGCATTTTCTAATGAGTTTAAACAAGTTAGATATTTAATTGGCTTTCAAATGCAAAAGTAAATTTGGGTGTTCAGAGGTATCTCTTAAGGACAAATTATATTCTCCTGATAATTTGTGTTTCTGACCAAACTGGCTAGTATAACATTCCTATGGCAACCAGGGAAGGATCTTGCGTACAAAAATGGAGAAGTGGTGGATGTTACCTAGCATGTTGTGGTAAAGTGGACTGTCGTGTCCATGGATAGTAAATGCAGTCATGACTAGCGGGACCTCTACACCTGCAGGCAATTACAGAACAAAAGACGTCATTTGCCATTCACAAGGACATGCACACGCATGCGCCCTTGTCCACACGTGGAGGATGGAAGACACACAGGGAACGATCACTCAGCAAGTACCTATCCATCAGGCCGATGCAGTCCTCAATACGTGGCCCTATGCACCTGCAGCAAATCCAAATTGGAAACAGGGAGAGAAAAAGAGAAATCTGTTATTTACAGAGTGGAGAAGCAGGAATCCCCTTTTTGTGTCACGTTCTTAATTATAATTCTCCAGAGAGACCCAAATCACCACAAAATTATAGCTTGTGACAAACAAGCTTGCAATGGGAACAATAACAGCAACATAAACAGCACTCCAAGGTTACACTATCTTGGCTCAAACAATACTTAAGGCAGGTTTCACCTGCATACGTGGGAGTCCTGACAATAAGAGCTGCTTTTTATAGATGTTGTCTGAATCATCAAACCAGTGATTACTGCACAAAAGCTGTTCATATGCAAGACGAGACCTCCAGGAGCACAATACAAAACTTTTAGTTCTTCCTGTAACTGATGCAATTGTTCATTCTGTTCTAAGTTGCTAGCTAAGGCAACTGCAGAAATATTTTGGAAGCTGACTATACTTTTATCAGGGAAACTCAAGGAGGAGCTTCCAACAACATAAACCAGAGCAAAATGATGTCTGGTGATTCAGGCATTTTATTCTGCTTTCCTCAGATGCTGCCAGAAGTCCTCCACGGGCAAAATCAGCAGGTGTTCACCAAAGGCAATGTGAATGCAGGGAATCACTTTATGCAGTAGCACTAAAGCACAAACAAGGGGAAAGGAGTCTTTGCAAAACACAGATATGCACGGGTTTTTGTTCTCATGAAAGGCAGGAGGTAAAGTGGTGTCCTAGGTTCTCTGCATTCAAATAGCAAGTCAATTACACATTTACACAGCAGCCAAGATTCTCAGAGACAGGTATGTAAAGTTAAGCTTTTAGGGGTTAAGACAACCCGACACCCTTTAGTGCTGAATGCCCAGCTAGTATCTGCTAGTGGGGGGGAGTATCTAGCTCTCAGCATTTTAAGGGCATCAAATCACTTATTTCAACTCTTTAACTAAAGATCTCAGAACAATTATTATTTTTTTTTAAACATGCTCTTTGACTGCTCATCTACTACAGGAGCAGGCGATGTGACACATCAGTAGACTGAAACTCACTTCTGTTGAGGCACTTTAAATTTAAGGTATGATCCCCAACTCTTTTTAAAGTCTCCTGCTTTCAGTTTGGCTTTGATAGAGGGATACGCATGTCAAAAATCTGAAAAAGTTCATATATGCTCCCATGAGATCTTTCCACTTCACCATCACTTGCCACTCATCAGGGTTTGCTGCATTTGAATTAGTTATCACTCTGCCATTATAAAATAAATTCAGTGAATTCAATTTCCCCTTACCTGCCCATCAGGGAGAGCAGAATGATAGTGAACCTTACCTCTTGTTTGTTTACTTGAATTTTTATTTTTACATAAGAACTGTGACATGAAAACACAAATTGTAAGGATTTCCTCAATAATCGTTTCCTTCTGCAAACGTGCAGACATAAAACAGATATATTAAATACCCAGGTGGCCAGATAATGCATGAGGTAGAAAGGGTAGATTTAAATGCAGTTCAAAAACTAAATAAGAGAGCTCTTGATGGGTGTTTTTTTTTGGAATTTCAGCTGTCCTGAGTTTCAAGACTTCAGAATTCAAAACTGTCTGAGTTCTAACCAGTCTCAAACATATCCAACACTTCTTCCTTTCATGGCACTTTGAGCAATTTGCAGAAAACCAGTTCAGTAATGAAGGAGGCTGAAAAAAAGTTGTTCAGATCTTCCATTTCCTAGCATGTCAAGAGAAGCTAAGCTCAGACTCTTGCTGTAAATAAAAAGAAGGCCCTCTTCAAATTAGAGGTCTGAGAGCCCATTACTATTTCAGATAACTGGCAGACTAACATAAAGAGCCTATTGTCTTGGAGTCATTTCACATCTGTACATTTATTCTCTCAGACTTCTGGAGAATGGGACTTGAATCCAAGAAGAGAGCTGTCTGGACTTCACTCAGTCCAAGTTGAAATACCACTGATTTTTATTTAAACCTGTAATCACCTTCAGTGGATTCCCAGCCCCAAACAGAAAACCCCATCCAGGTGCAATTTCCATTACTCCTAGTCATGCTGAATAGTCTCCTACTCTGACTGGTAGTCCTGATAACGTGCAGTAAAGCACAATACTCTGTGAGTAACAGCAATATCCACTAACAAGTTGATTTGCACCACCAAGTCATCAGTTACTTTTTCTCAAGAAGTAACTTCGGCGGTTTCAGGCTTTTTGACACATATAAGTACAAGCATGACACAATCACACATCACACTGGTACTCCATACACCCCCAGAGTTCCTTCTTCTGCTTGAAGTCTGGATGGTATTTTCATTTCCAAGTTCACTCTGTAAAATGAACTGGTTAACTGACACATGCCAATTTATTAATGATATATTCAGTACCTTAAAACAGTCCAATACAGCTTATACAGAAAATTACACTTGGAGCTCATCCTAGCTTTACAGATAATCATCCTCTGAAAGAAAATGAGTTAAAACAGTTTTGAAAACTGGAGTAACAACTCTCTTTTCCTGAAACAATCCTTTCCCCCTCTCTGTTACAGATACTGTCTTTCATCAATTTTCCTTCAGATTGAAAGGTGGGGTCTTAACTGTTCACAGATGTGGAGCAGCAAAGCCACTTCTAGTCAGACGAATTCTCAAAAGTCTTTGTCATTGGAAAGAAACAAAACTGATTATACACTGGCATAAATGGATTAACTTTGGACAGCAGAAAACCTTAGTTTTGGTGATGGCCTGGTCATCCAACTGTAACTATAGATAAAGCCAGACAACTCAAAACCAGGGGGTTACTTAGCTAACAGGAAGTGCAATACTGATGGTGACAGTGAGGAAGTTGAACCTCAGCACTGGGTAAAAGGAAATTTTGCGTCAACAAAATATTAAGAGTTTCTTATTCAGAGTTTGTTGTCATTGAATTTGTACTATTGTTTCATTTGCAACTCATAATGCCTTCCTAAAAATACACCTAAACTTTAGGGGTGAGACAGTCCTCTGCCTTCTAGTCTGCACGCATGTTGATAAGGCTCCCATGACTTCTCTGGTCTTAGCTTAGAAGGATAATAAAATTTTGGTGAACAGTAACACACTTTCTTCAAAATGCTATGTGAGAAAACACCTTTCTATAATGTGAGGTGGTGTCCAGTGAGATCTGCCATTTGTGCCTTGCCCAGCGAGGAAGCAGGCTGTCTAATGCTATTATATAATGAGCATTTTACTTCTGTGAAAGCGCTCCATTTTGGCTAGCTCTGCAAAAAGAGGTGCTAATTGCTTTCTGACTCTCTTGAATTAAATGGGATAGCTGTCCCACTTGCCTCAGATCTGCTCCAAACTGGCTTCAAGTAGCTGGTGTTTATCATAGGGATGCAAGGCCAAGAGCACAGTTGCTGCATCCAAGGAAGTCACTCCTTGATAGTTCTCTTAGTCAATGTAAAATCATTAACAGGGCTGGATAATTACACATCTATTAACAAAAGCACTCATTACACTTGAATAAGGGAGGAGAATGGTGTTATAAAATCTCATTCTCTGGGGTGTAAAGCAATCATCGGCAAGTGCCATGACAAAATTGTGGCAAAATGCTCACAGGAAACATAGAGGTGGGACAGATTCTTCCTTGGTGACAGCAACAGGTGGGGATGAGCAGAAACAACGTATGAGAACTCACAGCCCATTTTAGCAAGCACCCTGATTCAGAGACCAGCACTGAGGAGTCAGGCAATACCACACTGGAGCACTGCTCTGCAGCAGCACCTCCACACTTTTAGACAAGCATTCAAGTTGCACTGTGAGGGAATGGGTTTTATTTGAGCAATTGATCTGACAGAGAGGAGAACAGACATGCTAGATGAAGTAGAATTACAATTTCTCTGTACCATTCAGTTGTGAGCCAAATATCAAGATGTGTTCCTTCTACAACCTACTTCACTGAGGAATCCTGATGGAGGGGAATTTAAATATTAATTTCCAAAGGAAGGGTATGAAACTAGAGAATTCAGTACTGAAGGATAAAAGGAGAGAGAGCAATCGATTTCCCTTCTCCCTATGGGCATATTCAGCCCCTGACAGCAATGGCAAGATGGACTACTCAGAAACTCCAGATATTTGTGGCAGTCATTAACAGTTTAAGTAACATAATCACAATCCAGAAAGTCTTTAGGAACACTAGAGAAGAACACCCGTGCTTACCTGGATTTGGAGGGTAGCGGGGAGTTGTTTTTATGAGGGGTAAAAAAATACCTAAGAATATACATATTAATCCTTTAATAAGAGGATCAGGATTTCTGTGTGGAATACTATTTGACTCATGGCAAAGGGATAACTCCTCACCTGGGAGATAACCACACCTTTGCATGTGTAACCCAGTTAAACCTTTGGCCCTTTTACCAGTGGTACCACATAATTTCTCTGGGGATCAGGACATGATGCTAAATGAGACATTCCTTCAACTAATCAGCTGCAGAAAAAAATAAAGAAGGGAAAACTGAAAGTTCAAGGTGTTATGACAACATAACTTAGCATAAAGGAACCGTGCGTCACCAAGGGTTGCCAATGAATACTGGCAAGTTCAGTTACAACTGCCTAATGCCCTTTCTATTTATTTATGAACTAGAATGTCAGATTTTCATCAGAAGGCATAAAAACCTCCCTTCTTGATCCCATTCTATCTAAGGAGATAAAAACAACCAACCACCTGCAAAATACTGATGCATATGAGGAAGTATAAAGGCATGGAAAACATTCTGCTTGCTTCCTGGTCTAGGAGAAACACAGTTGTGCCACCAAGATTAGTTAATAGTTAGACCTTCCCAGAGAAGAGGAGGAAATGGGAAGAAGTGTCACATCCTGGTCTTCTGAGAGGCCAGCAGAGCTGCAAGGCACTTCTTATGCAGGGCAGACAGTAAATCTATCATCCATAGCTGGGCTTGTCAGATTGGATGAGAACTGGAACTTCCACTATCTTTAATAGCCAGGACCAGAGCTCCTGAAGTGAGCTCATCTTTTCATATTGTTTCTTCTGACACTCCTCCTCTTCCACAGTAGCAGCATTTTTCTTACTGCGTAACTGATTTAAAGGGTCTGAGGGGAAGACAAATCTGTGACAGATCCTGGCTGTGTCTTTGCGATCTCACTTTAATTTCCCTAATGGCTCTATTGTAATTAGATTTGCAAAACCAGCAAAAGGTCTCATTTTGAATGGCAACAGCTGTTGACATCAAGATTACATTGAATAATTTACTGGTTTAATTTTAGCTGCTAAACAATAAGAGCCTCTTGTTGAAGATTATTTCACTGGGTGAAATTTTCTCTTCTTTCCCCTGGCTGCCTCTCCCTTTCTTTGTATGCTGGACACCACCAACTGTCTCATTGAAAAGACATTTATAACTTATGTGGCCCATGCAAAAACAATAGTTGTGTATGTGACTACTATTATTTTGTTGCACAGATTCTTAATTCTGGCTCAGATACATGGCCTGTATATTTCCAAATGTAACAAATTATTTTGGGCAGTTAGACAGGACTTGGGAAATGGATGCTCAGACTCTGACTCCTATACAGAATCTGGTTTCAGACAAACCCTTTGCATCAGTTCCCATCTGAAAAAGACAGCAGTAACATTTCGTTTCACAGCAGTGCTGCCAGGTTAGTTCACCAATACCAAGGAGCAGAGATCAAAATTCTGTCAACAGAAAAAATCCTAAAAACAAAGTCATTTTACAGGCCTATGCTTACATAAGTGCCAATGGTGGCATTTGCTGCAAACCAGTGCTCGCTGGAAGGAATGATAAGAGCATTGCTGTGAAAAGTCGTTCTGTATGGTTTTCAAAAGGAGCGTAAGCTTTTTTTCTGACAAGCTGCTGGACATTCATGACTGGAACCTGAACGTTCTGAGAGGCCTGGAAATCAAAGACTACATTACTGCTCCACATACTCTGTGTTCAGCAGTGGGACAAGTGCCTTAACAAGTCAAACTGCATGTAAATCATCGTGCGCTATAAACAGCAAACAGGATGTCTCACTACACAGAATTTGCACTTACCCTTGGGTGCAGTTTGGATGACATGGATGGCACTCACGATCCTCATCAGCGTATTTGAAAATGAAGCTGTTGGCCCCCTGTAAGCCATCAGGACATTTTTCCACACAATTTGGACCATCCTTAAAATGGAAACACTTTGTGCAGTGGTCAGGTCCCTGGAAAGCATACAAGAAAGAAATGCAGTGCATTCAAGTTACTCTGTCTTTCCCTGCTGCACTAGAATTGCACATTCCACACTCACAGCACACTCAGCAATAACTAGTAGCATTTCATTCCTAACAAACAGTGAATCTTTCCCAATGAACAGTGAATTAGTTGTATGGCTCCAGTCTCTGTTAAGGAGCAGCAGATGTGTAAGTCCTCGTGCTTTTGGCCATAAATTTACTCTGTAGAGTGTAAGACTAAATTCCAGCATCTAAACAGGTTTCTCAGAATTATTAGCACGCTCAACACAATGGACTTCACGCCCCCTTTAACTCCCAAGACATTTCTCGCAATAATGAACAACATTTGCAAAGCAACTGCAACGGCC